AGTCATAAGAACGTCGAATCTGAATCACTTGAAAAAACATGGGGGTGCTTAATTTTTTTCCAGGTGTATATATGGCATATTTTCCTATGTATTATCTCTAACTAAATCTTGACACGTTTTTTTCATACTAACAAAAACCTTAGTTTCCTCTTTTTTATTATTATTAATTCTGGCTATGTCCTCACTTGTATTTGTACTAAAGTTAAACGAATCCAAACTTCCATAGTGTTGCATTGTGTCCATGGCAGTGAAAGAGTTAACTAACCAGATTTTTTTTTACATTAGTGTTTTTGGCATTAATGATAAGTCATCATGTGTTTATATTGATATTGTTCTAAACCAGGTCATATTTCATTATCTCTAGTGGAATGGAGTGTATGGCAGCAGCTTATTGGCTTGTATCCCCACCTGGTGGATTGCACCACGTCCACCTCGGCCCAGGTGTGCCGATCCTTAAGAGAAGCTCTTCATGAATACGTTAGTCTTCTAAGCCCTCCACATGGTCAGGTGATAAATGGAAACAGTTCATAACATGGTCTTGTTTCTACCTAGCACTGGTCCAAGTAGCAGGAAAAGAGCCTTCCCCAACATAACAGCACCACCATTATTGAACAAAATGTGAAAGCTGTGTAAATAGGGTTGACTGTACCCAAATTCTGTATAGAAATTTAAAATAACCTTGTTTTATTCTCACATCATATCAAAAGTTAATAGCTCTTTTCCCATATGGGAAATATTTGTTGGAACTATTCTGGACTTGCAGTATTTAATCTTTTTACTTCTAGGAAGTCTTAGTGTGCACACATATATTTTGATGTTTGTTTTCTTTGAGCAGTGAAGGAACTGTACATGAATTATATTAATGAGAGGTCTGAGAAAAAACAGAAACTATTATCAAATGTGATTAAATTTTGTTTTTTAGCAGTTTGTCTTTCTGTCAGGTACACCCTTTATATTGTGAAAAAATCTAACAAAAATATTATATAGTGAATTCTTCAAGCAATAAAAGACTATCAGAAACAAATTTGATTGGTTAAGTTAATCTTATTATTTTCAATCATAAATCAAATAATTTCTTCCCACATCTGACACATGTACAACAGTTGATAGAAGATGTTACCTCCTGGTGCAAACAAGATGAACTGTTCTCAATAAATGAGCTTGTGTTGTACAATTGTTTGAGGATTTCTTGAAGGATAAATTTAAATGCTTTTATGTAGTTACTAGTTTGAGAGAGTGGCTTATGGTCATTGGTGATCACACTTAGATTTGATTCTTCTTCATTCATCAAGACTTATAATCCACTAAACAACTCCTTACAGTAAAGTGGGAGTAGTATTTTTGTCAGTACAATTAATTTAAAACTGAAAACTCAGATCCAACTGTCAGTTTCTTCTCAAGTTAATTTTAGAAATATTGTTTCTAAGAATCAAATACTTGAGAATGTTAGATATGTCAGCAGTGAACAACATATCATAATCAGTTCTCATGAGTATAAATTTATGTGACATTCCACAAAAATTCGAGTATTTTACAAAAATTTGTGGAAAATAATTGATCTCCACAACCAGTACAGACTTGCATGGAATACAATAACCCATAAGTGGTACTTACCTACCATATTTATTGTGGAGATCAATTATTTTCCACACTTCTGTATCTAGATGGGACTGTGTGAGTACCAGTACAGACTTGCATGGAATACAATAACCCATAAGTGGTACTTACCTACCATATTTACTCACACAAAACATGTCAACAACCAGTCTAAGAACAGGAAAGCATGACTAGTTATGTTTAGAACACAACCTATGAACAATAAATGATTGAAACATGTGACAACTATACCTTCCAAAATACATTAAAATACTGTCAAAAACCAGTCTTAAAAACAAGAAAATATGACTAGTTGTATTAAGGACAAACAGTAAATGGTTGAAGGATAAAAATATCAAGATAACAACAAGGTATATTACTATGCACATGTTGTTCCAGCTATTGGAGATCATGCAGTAGTGTAGGAACATACTTATGCTGGCCCCTTTTTTTTTGTCGGTTTAAAAGGGTTGCAGTGTAAGTGACTGATGTTACCAGTATTGTCCATCCCAGAATGCTTTGGTTTGACTTTGATGAATTAAAACTGAAGAAATTCAAGAATGTTCATACTGTTTGAAAGATGAACTCATTTACCTTCCTCAGCCAGCACAATCACTGTACGTAAGATATCACACAAGGATATTAATGGATATACATTGTTTCATGTGTAACTTTTAGATGAAGATAGTCACATTGGAGAATAATTAATGACAACATGTACTTGCACGTGAAGATAGTCACATTGGAGAATAATGACATGTATTTACATTGTTTCATGTGTAATTTTTACATGAAGATAGTCACATTGAGAGAATAATGACATGTATTTACATTGTTTGATGTGTAATTTTTACATGAAGATAGTCACATTGAGAGAATAATTAATGATAACATGTATTTCCATTGTTTCATGTGTAACTTTTAAATGATGATACTCACACTGGATATCAATTCAAAAGAATATGTACTAAAATTGTTTAATTCTAAATAAAGGTAGTCACACTGCAGATTAATTGACAAGAACAATGTGTATTTACATTGTTTAATGTGTAACTTCTAGAAACAAACAATCCATATTAAAAAAATCATTTGAGAAGTTTCTATCCATAAGTTAGCACACTATCTAATTGATAAAGGTGTGAAATATCCTATACACTACATTTAAATAAAGAAGGCTAAACCAGCTGTCTACTTTGACTCAAACTTAAGAATTCTGTACATTTAAAGATGGAAGCACTTCGTTTGTAAAGAATAACACATCTTCCTCCTTACATTCTTACTTCGAGCAACCTGACAGCATCATCTAAACAAAAGTGACCAGAGAAATGATGACTAGAATATTGTTGAGGTAGGACCAACTTATATGCCACAAAACTATTTAACAAAATTCTTGATAAGGGAAGTTATATTTCACCAACAGCTCTACTATTCTGGAGAATATAATACATACAAGGCTCACACCATGTCTGACAAATGTACAGGCAGACACAATATTTTTCAAAATTCAGACTTGTGGACAAGATCAATGCAGGTTATATAAATCTTTACATCATCAACAAACAGTTGCTAATTTAAAACCATCATTCTTCATCAGTATAAAACTTTCCATTTCTGATATTTAGCTTTTCTATTGTCAAAGATGCTGGGTATCACTCTATTGAAGTTCTTTACAATGGAATCAATAAAACCACTTGCCACTCTTCCGTTGGGTCTTATGATATCTATTATGTAGCTAACTTGGGTTGATAGGATGTGGTACTTACTGAACAACCATTCATTAAAAGGTTGGAACAAAAGGGCTAGGACCCATTCAATATCAAGTAACCACCACAATGATCAAAATCACATTTTCTCAGGCTTTGACTTCTTCCCTTTGGGTCTCTGAAGAGTGGAGTTGGCACCAAATAGCTTATGCTCTCCATGCTTTAAGATGATGAAGCAGTTAGGAGGATGAGCTCGTTGCTCCAAGCTTTCTCGTAACTTCCTTGGTGGATCAAGGTAGTACTAGAGAAAAGTAAAACAAGTTTTCCTTTTTCATATTTTAATGAAATAACATAAATGTTTTTGTAAAACTAAAACCTAACATCTTACTGTAAGTTACAACATTAGACCACTAAAGTCACAATAGGCTGATTCCTGTTCAATTATGATTGTTTTGTCCCTTTACTATGCATGAAAAGCTTAATAAGTTCTTCAATTCTGATCACGTAGGTATGCATGTCAATTCCTTGATTTGTTGGAGCACACTCCTAAAATCATTTTATTTCTGCCTTATCAGAAAATTTTATGAATCAGAAACAATGTGTTCACCATTCGAAAATATGTATGAATCAAACACTGGGATAATGCAGATAAAAAAAACTTTCATTAATACAATCCTGAACAAAAAAAGATTACAACTTTTGTTTTTTTTTAAATGTGCGAAATCTGAAAATGATGAGGAGTGGAAGTCATCCAGTGACAATAAGTTAAACAAAGTTATCTGTTCAAACTATCAACAAATGATAAGAAAACTGAATATTGCACTTGGGTATAATTTTGATTCAAATGATCCATCAAAAGTAATTAAAATATGGTGTAAGACACTGATAATACACAATAGATCAGTCATATTCAGCAGTGAGCAGTTTAATCTTAATGAACTAATTTAGACAGCTGATATTTTGTAAATGAATAATCAGAAGATAAGGATATCTATAAATGTACTTGTTAAATTTTTCACCTAAGTGTGAATACAGGCATTCAGAATAATAATACAGCTTTGGATAATATATTAATTAGTAAGTTTTTTAAAAAGATAAACTCTCTAATAAGTAGCTACATTTCTATTTTCGAGATCAGAGTTTTTTTACTGCAAAGTTGAAGGCAGATTTATTTTTCAAAGTTTACAAATAATTAAAATTATGTAGGAATAAATCCAGAGCCTACATAGTTTTCTGTAGAATTCAGAGTCAAATAAAAAAAAACTACCTCTTGATGTTAAATATTTGGTCCTTTAATAATTATTTCAATATGTTGATAGGCATTGCGACATAATATTTTATATTTTATTCCAGTTTAGGAACGGAACCAAAATAGAAGAAAGAAAGTAGTTTTTATAAGGAACTTGCACTTTCCTTTAAAAAGAGAAATTGAACTTTTCAAGATTACTCCACTAAAATTGTTGAAGATAACTGTCCCTAGATTTCATGTGATAAAACTAATAAAGGTGCTTATCACAGTGTGGTCGATAATGTATAATCAAGTGAAAACAAATTCACTCTGATTCTAAAAAACAGACAATAAAATATTTACTATTTGGCAAGAAAATCTGTGGTGATGCTATTTAACCTATGCAGAGATTAAAATGGTTCATAAGATGGAAACTAAGTTTTATAAGGAACTTTACAAATACAGTAGTACCAAAAAATAATTACAGATATTTCATAATTATTCTAATTCCACCATCAGCATGAAAAACTTAATAATTAACAACTTTAAAAGTATAAAAAAAAACATCATAAACATTTACAGGAAAAGTTGTTAATACCAATGAGAATTTATAAAGAACAACACAGGCTGGGAGAAACCATAGAAACCACGTGTATGCTGAGTAATCAATTAATTAAACAATTAAACTTAGTTTACTGTACTAGACAGAGTTTAAGAACCATTTAATGACAGTTAGGCTTTTTTTTTCCCTTTTAAGTGATTCCTATCTAGCTAGAGTTAGTTGTTTCTTAAATAAGAGTACTATTCATTTAAGTAGGTTAATGTCTTAACAGTGTTATTTATTGTTAAAACTGAAATAATAATGTTAACAAATACAGTTAAATCAGGTTATTCAAAAAACAAAATATTTTTGAGAAAATAAAGAATAATGAATATTAAAATACCATACCTTTTTGTTGTTAAAGCAATCTTACCCTAAGTAACACTGGTTATGTTTTTAGCATGTAATAAGCAAGCTACTCTATTGTTTAGGTTAAACAAGGTAAACAGGAACAGTAGACATCACTGTGGCTAATTATGTGACCAATGGTCATTAGGCCCACTCTCATATTCATGAGTTGTTTACAGACATGCATACTGTCATGTGAAGTTGTGCCATTGGTAAAAGTACTAGCTATCACAGTGTGTGGGTCCAGTTATTACATATCATTAGCTAAACAAGTTTGAGTCATGGCATAGCTACTAAGGCTATCATCTGCCATTTTGAACTGCTTACCAAAAGGAAGACAACTGTCTAGTAACACCCATCAACATGCCCTGGGCTACTCTTTACAAATGAATATGTGACCATCATTTTATAACACTCCTGGGCTGACATGGCCTGGTTGCTACTTCATGAATTGATGGTCACAGATTTGAAACCTGGTGGCACCAAACATAAGAGTTATAATATCACAGGCCATCCAACTATTTGCTGGCATAAAAAGAAAAAGAAAAAAGAGTAACCTAAGAGGTAGGGTGCAGTGCTGCAACATTTCTCTTGTTGGCAGTTCAAAATTAGAGATGATTCCAGATAGACGTAGTAGCTTTGAAATAACTCTAAAACAAAGTAACAATATAATGCCCCCATGGCTGACAGGATGAAAATAGTTGGAGGAACCCATGACCTTTAAATCATGACACAAAAACCCTAATCATGGGCCATTCTGGCCTGAGGCTTGAACAACCATGAGTTAAATAATAATGAGACATCAAAATGGCAATATTTAGATTACATGGAAAGTTGGAATTATCAGAAACACTATTTTTGATTAGTTGTTATTTATAAGACAATAATAAATTTAACTGTAACTGCAATTAATTGATAATTATGTTACAATAATCAATTATACTTGATACTCAAAAGTTCTTTATTATATAGAATTATCAAGTTAATTGCCCAGTTCTACCATAAGATGCAGTGCACTTCCATTTAAACTTGCCACTAAAGATTCGACTTTGAACTAAATGTTCATCAGTCATAACATAGCTCCATCTACAATATCACCACATAAAGCATTAATTAGACCTTGGATTTCTACCTTGCATGTTTCTACCTAAACCTGTTACCAAAACTTCATTAGACATTTGATTTCTACATTACATATCTCCATCTTAACCCTCTCACAACAGGCTCGGTCAAATGAACCGAGTTTGTGACCCCAAATTGACCCTTATAGATTCCATACTATAACTTCTATTTTTTGCAAGCTTTCAGTAAGCATCATGTGTTTTGTAGACAAAGTATTTTTACTAAAAATTTCTCCATGAATACATGGAGTCAAAGTGTTGACTGCTCCGAGTGCAAACTGATTTTCATGTTAAGATTAAGAATACTTTTCTTCATCTGAAAATTCTCGAATTTCATTTGTGTAACCTCTAAAACCACCTAAATAAATTTCCACCTTTTTTTCAGTAAAACTTTGTATTTTATCTGGTATTTTCTCTTTTGAACTGTATCTAACTAATATTCCCACCACACAAGTTGTAAATCTCTTGGCAAACATGTAGCTTATGTTACCCTACCAAATTATGTAATGCACGGGCTACTCGCAAGCATATGAAAATTATCATCATCATAATTCTTTATTTTACATAATCTAACCTTAAAAGTTTCTAATTTTTACATTTTAGTTACTTTTATAATAATAAGTAAAAAATACAGATGAAAAATAAGAAATATAATACCTGGATCTTTTTGTTTGCTGTCGACTGTCAATGAAACTTAGCCCTACTTTTTATACTAATGGTACTACTGCACTAAATAATTTATTGAATTAAACAATTCACCAAATAACACAGAATAATAACACACAAAAAGCAGACAACATCCTATAACTGTCACAATTTTTCTGACTTTCTTTGGGACAAGAGATGTTAAAAATTCAGCTAACTAGTAGTAAAATAGACAATTCTCTGTACGGAAAACAATGTAATATAATACATTATTTGACAGATTAAAGCTTTGGTTTCCTATTTGTTATAAATAATACAGTATTAAACATCAGCAAGAACCGTTGGCAATTTGTGAAAGAGGGGATGTGACAAGTAGGCTCTGTAAGCACATAAGATTGAAGTCTATAAAAATTATGCTTTGCCTGAGTGATGAACATATTATAATGAACAATTTACATAAAATTTCATACTTCTCAGAGGGGGTGGTAAATACATTAGAGAAGAGGAATACCTAGACACAAATGTCACAATTCTCATAATAGAGGAAATTGAGGATTTTTTAAAAATATTTCCTTATAAAATTGAGGACTTAAACTTATATAACATTAAAACCTGGATTATTGGCTATGTTTCGATGCTAAGTTTATTTGTGTACCATGATGAAAAAATGCTTTAATTAAATTTTGAATGTAATTCGTGACATGCACAGAAAAGAATGCCTGTATAAAAAGAGTTAACCTACCACTAAGAATTCATTGGCCACTATTTCCACTTCATATATCTCCACCTAAACCTGTTACTAAGTATTCATTAGCCACTATTTCCATTTCATATATCTACACCTAAACCTGCTACTAGGTATTCATAAGCCACTATTTCCATTTCGTATATCTCCACCTAAACCTGCTACTAGGTATTTATTAGCCATTATCTCCACTTGGTATATCTCCACCTAAACCTGCTACTAGGTATTCATTAGCCACTATTTCCACTTCGCCAAGTGGAGATAGTGGGTAATGAATACCTAGTAGCAGGTTTAGGTGGAGATATACCAAGTGGAAATAGTGGGTAATGAATACCTAGTAGCAGGTTTAGGTGGAGATATACCAAGTGGAAATAATGGCTAATGAATACCTAGTATCAGGTTTAGGTGGAGATATACCAAGTGGAAATAATGGCTAATGAATACTTAGTAACATGTTTAGGTGGAGATATACCAAGTGGAAATAGTGGGTAATGAATACCTAGTAGCAGGTTTAGGTGGAGATATACAAAGTGGAAATAGTGGCTAATGAATACCTAGTAGCAGGTTTAGGTGGAGATATACGAAATGGAAATAGTGGCTAATGAATACCTAGTAGCAGGTTTAGGTGGAGATATATATATCTCCACCTAAACCTGATACTAGGTATTCATTACCCACTATTTCCACTTGGTATATCTCCTCCTAAACCTGCTATTATGCATTCAATGTGGCAAATCTAAATCACCTTTAATTCACCACAAAAGTGAACAGAACTTCATTATTACTTTTTAAAGTAATCTTGACAACAAAGAAGACACCACTGAACATCACATCAAAACACAGAGCACAATCAATCGAATGAAAATTTTAGACTTATGACAATTTTCTTGACAGAAAATTTAAGGAATATTATTTGATTCAATCCAGATACCTTTCCATTAACAGATACGATGCCTAGCCCTATAATACTTTTTTTCCTTTTATTTATTTATTTATTTTTTAACTTTTGCCATTATGATTGGCAACTCTAACCCATTTAACAATACTTTTAGCATGCTTCACGTGTACTGTTCCTTGTACTGTTGTAGTTCTATTTTTCTTTAGTTACTCTAATATAAAATCAGTTTGGTACCTGTGACATCCATTGACCCTTGAAAAATGTGTAAGCCGAAACGCCGGGTTGAATAAATTAACATTCATCTGAAGTTGTTTTTCGTCTTCATTGAGAATAAAAATTCACCAACACAAATAAATATATAACACTAAAAACACCCAATAAATTGTTAACACATTTTAATATTTTTGTGGTTCAATTTCCCGTTCACCTTTACTGTATGTTTATACTGCACTGCCACTGTAGAATAGGCATCCTGCACATGCCTAAGGTTATCTATTTGTTATGTGGGAACATTTTCTTGAGACACCAAAGGGGTAATTTTATCCAATCAGAAATAGCCTTACTTAGGTCAATTGCAAGTTCTGTAAAGGTGGCATCCCAGGCTCCAATAAAATGAAAGTGAAAAGAAATCAAACCGATATATGTATTATGTAGTATAAATGTTGATAGTGTAGTTACTTTGATAACAGATGCCTCATAGTTATCATTCTTACATTCACAGCTTCATTATACTACTATATTACCTCAAATATAATACATCTACATTCAACAGCTTCAATAAACACACTAACATAAGTTTAATACTTTAAGCAGCATGACTAATGCAGATATCGTTGCATTAGACACAGTAGTGACCACAGCTACTATGCATTCATTGGCCACTATTTCCACCTAAACCTGCTACTAAGCATTCACCAGTACTTCATTGTTCATCAAGTATCATCAACAAACTTTAGTGTTTCTTTGATAAATAATTTGAAATGGTTACAACCATCTGAAATATCTTACTGATTACTGTAACAAAATGTTCATCAGACATCATGACAAGCATCTTACCAACTCCCATCACTAAATGTTTATATCCTGTTATTACCTATTACATTATATCACTTTAAATAACCTTAATATATTCTAAAGTCAGATTTCACTGCAATACTTGTAACATACAAGCTAGACCAGACAATATTTTCAGCTGTTATGCATGCTACATTAGACATAAAATAAAACACTGAAAAATGCTGAGAAATTGATATACATTTTTGTACTTTTAATAGTCGAGCACCTAGAGAAATAAGATATTAACACTTGAGTTTATTAGCCATTATCTCCACTTGGTATATCTCCACCTAAACCTGCTACTAGGTATTCATTAGCCACTATTTCCACTTCGTATATCTCCACCTAAACCTGCTACTAGGTATTCATTAGCCACTATTTCCATTTCGTATATCTCCACCTAAACCTGCTACTAGGTATTCATTAGCCA